GGTTAACTCTCCCACCTTAAATGTGAACGTTTCCTAACATGATATGACCATACGTTGGAATAATGTCCTAGAACTTAATTTTGGGGTTGTGACACTGTAACACTTATTTACATCAGACCAACAAGCTATCATACGTTATCTCCTTTGCAATTAGTTTCTGGTCAACAACCAAATATTTTCCATCTTAAAATTTATGAATATGCAATGTATGTTCCTATTGCTCCACTACAACGCACTAAGATGGGTCCTAAAAAAAGGTTGGGAATATATGTTGACTATGAATCTTTATCTATAATAAAGAACATTAAGCTAATGACAGGGGATTTAGTCACTCATCAATTTGCTGATTGTCATTTTGATGAATCATTTTTTCCTACTTTAGGGGAGAAAATAAGCATTTGCAAAAAGAGATAAGTTAGAATAAATTATTTTTATTTCATCTTAATCCTTGAACAAAATAGTATGAATTAGAAGTTCAAAAAATAATTCATTTGTAAGGTTTAACTAACCAACTACCAAATGTGTTTACAAATCCAAAAACAGTGACTAAATCATGTGTCAGCTTCTGATACTCCAATCAAAATCAATGTTTCAATTAAATAATCTAATGTTGTAAATCAATCTGAATCATGTATGAAGCATGATAGACCTTTTAGTTCCAAAGATAAAAATCCTTGAAAAAGAAAAGGAACTAAGAATCAAGGAGACCAAAATGAGGATGTAAAGACTCCAGAAGAGTCATTAGATATAATCAATATTTTAGTTTCCGAAGAAACACAGGTACCTGAAAATGATAAAAATAAAGATATCTCAATAAATTATATCATGAATAGAATACAATGGAACCAAAATGAAGTCAATGTTGATAATATTTTTTCATTTAATGTAGCATTAGATGTGATAATTGATATAGAGGATCATGAATCAAAATCAGTTAACAAGTGTAGACAAAGAAGTGACTGAGAAAAATGAAAAGATGTAATTGAGGTAGAATTAAAGTCGCTTACAAAACGTGAAGTTTTCGGACCTATAGTTTGTACACCTGAAGATGTAAAACCAGTTGGAAATAAATGGGTTTTTGTGTGAAAACAAAATAAAAAAGGTGAAATTGTGAGATATAAAGCACAACTTGTTGCCCAAGATTTTTTGCAAAGACCTGGTATTGATTTTGAACAAACATATTCACCTATAGTTGATGCAAATACTTTTCGATACTTAGTCAATTTAGCAGTAAATGAAGAACTTAATTTGTGATTAATGGATGTTGTTACAGCCTATTTGTATGGCTCACTTGATAATGACATTTATATGAAACTCCCTAAAGGTTTTAATTTGTCAGATGCATACATTTTAAATTCTAGAAAAGGTTATTCAATCAAGTTGAATAAATCACTTTATGGATTGAAATAATCTATACACATGTGGTATAATCACCTTAGCAAATATTTGTTGAAGGAATGATATAAAAGTGACCCTATTTGTCCATGTATTTTTATAAAAAAAAATAAAAAATCTTATAATGGATTTGTAATAATTGTTGTTTATGTTGATAATTTAAACATCATTGGAACTCCTGAAGAGATTTCAAAAACAGTAAATTGCTTAAAGAAAGAATTTGAAATGAAGGACCTTGGAAAGACAAAGTTTTATCTTGGATTACAACTTGCATTTGTAAAGGATGGAGCTTTTATGCATCAAGAAACTTATACCACAAAGGTATTAAAACAATTTTATATGGATAAATCACATCCATTATGTACTCCAATGATTGTAAGGTTATTAGATGTAAATAAAGATCCTTTCAAACCACGGGAGAAGGATGAAAAACTACTAGGTCTTGAAGTACCTTATCTTAGTGCAATTAGGGCACTAATGTATCTTGCTTGTCATATACAACCTGATATATCATTTACTTTTAACTTATTAGCAAGGTATAGTTCTTCACCTACAAGAATATTTTGGAATGGAGTTAAACATATATTTTGTTACATACAATAGATATGGGTTTATTTTACTCAAATAAATCTAAATCTGAGTTGATTGGTTATGCAGATGCGGATTTTTTGTTTGACCCACATAATGGTAGATCACAAATAGGTTATTTGTTTACATGTGGTGGTACAGCCATTTTATGGCGATCTATGAAACAAATTATAACAGTTACATCATCCAATCATGCAAAAATTTTAGCATTACATGACGCAAGTCAAGAATGTGTTTGGTTGAGATCTATGATTTAACATGTGCAAAAAAGTTGTGGTTTATCTTCAAAAAAATGACCCCAACAATTATATGTGAAGATAATGCTGTGTATATTACTCAATTGAAAGAAGGGTACATTAAAGGAGATAAAACAAAGCATATTTCTCCAAAATTCTTTTTTTACCTATGATCTTCAAAAGAATGGTGATATAAATATTTAACAAGTTTGTTCATGTGATAATCTACCAGTTATTTTCACAAAATCACTTTTAAGTAAAACTTTTATACAACTAGTTCACAAGATTAGACTTCATCGTCTTAGAAATGATTATCTACATGAGGAGAAGAATTAAATACGCTCTGCACTCTCTTTTCTTGAGCTATGATTTTTTTTTCATTGAGTTTTCTTGGCAAAGTTTTTAATGAGACAGTATGTAATAGCGTATTAAATAATAATATATTTTTTCTTTTCACTAGGTTTTTATTCCATTGGAGTTTTCTAGTTAGATGTTATGAAAAATATTTTCAAATAATGGACATTCAAGGGAGAATGTTATGAAGTATTATATGTGTAAATGTTCATATTCATAATTCCTAATATTCTTTATAACTTTCAATTTTGTAACTATTTTGTTTAATTTTCATTCAAAGAGATGAAATTCTTCGGATATAGATTCAAGCCTATAAAAATATCTCATTTATATTGAGATGATATGATGTGAAATGAAATTGAGATTCTCTTTTTCTCTCTATATTGTTCTCTCTATTTTCTTACTTACTTCTTATAATTTTATGTTTATTTTATAATAGACATTTATCTCTTATTAATTTGACATTAATAAGTTCAGTCATATCCAAAATACTATGGATATATGAGATTATTAGGACAAAGTGGAGAGAATACTATACATATAGTTTATTGGAATTTTACTTTTTATAAAAAATGAATGAAATTGAATTTTAGTAATTTTAGCTTAAAGTCAAAGCAATATTGATTTTTGTAATTTAATATAGGTTCAAATTTTTAGATATAACTTTGCATAAGTTAAATTAACATTGGACTAATGCCAAAATTTTAAGGACACGATTATCTATACTTTTATGACTAAATAAAGGGTAATTTAGTCAATTAGACTGTCAAAATTTGTGAACAGAGATATACAATAAAAATCATCACACTTGACCATGTTTTGATTTAATTAGATATAATTTAATCGATTAGTCAAAACATGAACAAAGGCTTAATATTCTTTACACATAGAGAAATTTATATATTTAATATATGTACAAATATTTTTTTTTAGGTTTGCACTTGAATGTGGTAGGTAAGTTTATCACTGAAATTTTTTTGCATACATAAAAACTCAAAACTGAAACTTTATTTAAGCGATACCAAATCACTTGCCATTTAAACTAACCTTTGTTGGTTATATGTACAAATATTTTAATAAAATACTTTTAATTTGATTTGATTTTTATCATTCATTTCAATTTAAAAGGTTTATTATTATTTTAGATCACAATGAAATTAAAAATTTAAACCTGTTAGTATTTATGCTTGTCTCTTGCACTTGTAATGTACAATATAAATAATAATTTTTTAAGTTATTACTTTAATTATAATTTATTTACACACAATATTGATGTTTTTCTTTTATTAAATTTTCATATTATTTTAAATAAGTTTTGATATTATTTTGTTAAAATCTTGCAATTTGTTACTTATATTGACTTATTTTTTTAATTTATAAAAAAGTAAAAAAAATTGACGGTATAAACAAAAATTAAAAAAGGATAGAATTTATGAATAAGCGATAAATAATAATTATAAATGTTATGTAAATATATTTTTATTTTCTAAATTTTATATTAATATATAATAAAATAATATTTTTTACAATTTCTTAAAATTTAATGTACTTTTGATTGTTATTTATTTTAAAATTTAAAAAATAATAAAAAGGTTGAAAGATTGGAATCATGAAAAGTCAATGGAGGTATACATGGAATAAATTAAATGTTATAAAGAAAATTAAATATAGTAATTTAATATAATTCTTTTAATAAATGAAAATTAAAAATGAACATTTAATGTATAAAATATATATAATAATAGAGGTAAAATTTTCTCATTATAAATCTAACAATTCTTATATTTGATTTGAAGCTTTTATTTAACACATATAATAGATTATAATTTATTACTTTAATGATAATTAGATATAAGTTAAATAAAAGACTCATGTCAAATATAAAAATTCTTTTAAATTTATATTAATATAAGAATATCTTTTTCATAATAATAATAATAATAATTAAATTAATTATGTTTTTTAGAATAATAATTTAAAAAGTTATTAAAAACACAGACAAACTTATTGAAAAGGAAAAAATTAACTGTAAAATAAAAAAATATTACATACTTATTTAAATAAATTATTTTTAATTTGATATTAATTTTTATTTTTAAAAAAATTTAACTAATGAATGTAAATTCTTAATTAAGAACTTAAAGTCAACTCTCTATTTCAAATAGTGATTTTTTTCTTGATTTGACCATATTAATTTATTAATTTAAAAATATAAAATCTCATAATAAAATAAATAAAACATTTAAAGCTCAAAAATCATTTATTATTATAACCCTTATATCATAATAAAATAAATAAAGCATTTAATGTTCATAATTAATTATTATTATAACCTCCATTTATGAAGTTCCTTTTTTTCTTCTTTATTTCTCTTCCACAAAATTAAAAACCATTCCCATGTATTTTCTTTATTCAATCTCTAAAGGACACAACTCTTAAACTAAACCCTTCAAAACTTGTAAATTTGAAATGTGGCCCCAAATCTCCAAATATTTTTGAAACTCTTCCATGTTCCCGCCACCTCACCATTGAAGGAGGGAAAAGAAAGTTCCTAATAGAAGCACCAAAATTTCAGTTTCATTACACTTATACTGATAATCTCTCATTTTTCTTTCTTACAGTGAGTTATAGCAACCAAAATTCAAAGCTAGTTGGAACACACACAACTAAAGTCTTTGGTTCTTGGTGTTGTGTTTTATTGTGTTGTGTTCTTACAACAAATGTTACCTCTTCCTTCAATCTCCGATTCCAACGGGGAACATCATTTCTCTTCTTCTCGGAAGCAGAATGGGAAGAAGGTTGATGTCAGTGGCCAGAAATCGAAACGCAACAACTCTGGTAGGATTCGAGTTGTGGGAAACAGAATCTATGATTCTGCAAATGGGAAAACTTGTCACCAGGTGCTTTCATTTTTCTGTTTGTTTGGTGATTTGTGTGAGAGTGAAGAATCTTAATGTGGGTATGTGGGAATTGTGTGAAAAAATGAGAGCTTTGGTTGATGGGGTTGAGTAATCGGATGATGGTTTTTTTTTTTTTTTAAACGTTGTCGTTTTGGTTTTTTGTTTTTTTAAATGTTGGTTTTGATTATGAGTTTTTTGGTTTGTTTTTTTATTTTTTTTTTATTTTTTCATGTTAAAGTGCCGGCAAAAAACCAGGGATTTTGCTGCTATGTGTAAGAATTTGAAAAATGGGAAGCCTTGTCCCATTAAGTTATGCCACAAGTGCCTCTTGAACAGGTTAGGTTATTCAGCACTGTAAACATTGGTTTTTCTTTTTATTTTCTTAATGTTCTTGTTTTTCAGAATTGTTTTATTTTACTTAAGTACAAAGATAGAGTATTTGATGTATATTTGTATGTGTTTTTCCTTCTAAGAATTTTTGTGGTTTATTAGATATGGGGAGAAGGCTGAAGAGGTGGAGCTGCTGAGTGATTGGACCTGTCCCAAGTGCAGAGGCATTTGCAACTGCAGTTTTTGCATGTCAGTTTTTTTATTTTTTTATTTTGTGCATGTGTGTTTTGAATTGGTATTGTATGTGTGTTCATTCTGAAAGAGTGATCCTGCAGGAAGAAACGAGGTCAACAGCCTACTGGTGCACTAATTCACACAGCCAAGGCATCTGGTTTCAAGTCTGTGTCAGAAATGCTGTCCATCAAGGGTTCTGAAGATTTGGAATCGGACGAGGTCAATAATATTGTCGTTTCGCCTTCAAAGGGAAAAAAGGTATGTTAATTTTCTCTTTGTCCCCTTTCCCATCTAGTGTTTGCTGGTTCATTAAGCTTCTCTTCACGTGTGCAAATTCATGCTGAATTATTATTGATGATAGGAGCGAAAAAAACGTGTTGGTAATTCAAGTTCTGGCAAGGGTCTTATGAGCAAAGTTGTTTCACCTATGAAGCAAATTACATCAGAGAAGGTGCCATGGTTATTTTATTCTGTTTAATTTATTTTAGTTATTGACACATTAAGTTCTACTGATTGGCGCATACGATTTGTATGTATGTATGTGACATATACAGCAAAACATGAAAGAAATTAATTTTAACTTTACAATCATAAATGAATAGTGGAGATCTAATCTTAATCATCCATTTTGTGTTGAGAGGCTTGGAACATCACTTATACTCTCTAATAACATAATTCCTTATAAAAATAATTATGTATGCATAAATAGATAGATATGAATTTTGGTTGATGAATGATGATTATGTTTGTTATATCTTGCAGGAGCTTGTGGTACTTCTATCAGGGGAACCTGGGAAGGAAAACTCTTTGGATGGAAACAGTGATTTAAAGCTTGACTCTCTGAAAGTTCAGACATCACCTGAGAAATCCAAGGAAAAAAAGCGCAAAAGATTAAAGGAGATATCTAATAGCAACAGTGTTGATACTTACAATGCTTGTGAAAACAAGAACCTGAAAAAGCTTAAAGTCCGCAATGAAGTTACAGTGGAGAAAGCAAAAAGAAGTGTCAATGATGGCACTAAAGTTAGCAATGAAAAGGAAACAAATGACAATCATGCTATCCTTCCAATACAGATGGATGGTACTGTGGCTGGGGCTGAAAATGATTTTTTCTTAGATATTAACAAAATGCTTGGAAAAAATTGCAAAGACACAGTTACAATAGATAATGGTTATAATGCTCCTTTCAAGTCCCAAGCAGCCAATGATTTTTTCAATGCTATCTCTAGAAGGCAAACACAAATAGGTAAGAATCATTACGCCCTTCATGGAGAGACAAATGGTCCTAATGCTGCAAATGATTATTCAATTGGTCCCGTGACTTTGGCTTCAAATAGTAATAACTTTGCTCTCAAACAACAACAAAATGATGGGAAACAAATGAGTGGAATAAATTTGAATGCCCCTCCAGTGGATGATGATGATAATGCTGGTGTCAAGTCCCTAACAGGCATAGCAAGGTTTCCACAAGCCAGTTTGAACTCAGAGATAGAAAAAGTTGAAGAGGAAATTCCTTTGCCCTCTGGGATTGAGTTAACAGAAATATTGGACATTGAGTTTCTACCCAAAGATGTCGGAAATGCATTGCAGCTTTTGGACTTTTGCAGAGTGTTTGGAAAGGTATGTCTTTATGTTGTCACCATTCATAATTTTTTCTTAAATCTTTGTTTGATTATTTGAAATTCATTTCTGCATGCAGTGCTTGACCCACTGAATCTTTTAATGCTATAAACAGCCATCACACAATATTGGACTAGTTACTGTTTTTTATTATCATGCAACTTAAAAATCAAAACTTTATCGTTTAATTAAATGATTACATGATGAATAGATGCTATTTACTTGTGTTATGCACACTTAGATTCTCTAGATATAATGATGTTATTGTTGCAGATATCATTCTTGTTTTTTGCATAAATTCATGATTACACTATCAGGTGTTTTCACATCTATTCCTGTGTTTATTTTTAATCAGCCCCTTGATCTGAAAAAAGGAGAAGCTGAAGCCATTGTAAGAGAATTAGTACGTAAGCAAAGTTCGCGCCGAGGACAAAATACCCTAGTGGTTCAGTTCCAAATTAGACTGTTGACTCTGATACTAATTGATTCAGGAATTAAGTGAGTTTATCATGTTTACCTTTTTATTTATTCAAAATTTTTGCGAGGTGCTAAACTTTTCTTTAATATACTTGGATTAAAGTTGCCATATGGATTGAATCACTTTGTGTAGGTCTCCATCCTTAACTGCTACCAATGGAAATAAGTCATGGTTGAAAGCTCTCAAGGATTTAATCACTGAATCTGAACTTGTGCTAAAAGATTTTCCTTTAGATTGGCTTGAGGAAGGCATTAGTGGGTATTGTGAGTTGGATTTATCTACAAAGCTTAGGCTGCTGAATTTTCTGTGTGATGAAGCTTTGAGCACAGAGTAAGTATTTCAAGTCCAGTTAGAAAATTTTATAGAGTACTTTGCTTTTGTTCTATTGTTAAAAGTGGTTATAAACTTAATATGTCCAGGAAATTAAGGAGCTTCATTGAGGATCAAAATTCAAGACATGCTGAAGAAGTGAAGGAAGCAAAATCCAAGGTTGCTGCAGCTAAGGAAAAGGTGACAGGAAACAAGGATGTCATGTTCTTTGTATCTGGATTTTTCTTGCTGTTGCATTGCGTTCATGATTTTGTATACATGTTATCTACAGGAAAAGGGTATTAAGCAGAAGTTGCAGAATGAGGTGGCTAAAACTATTATGTCAAACGTGGCTCCCCTTTCAGTGGAGGAGCATGATGCTCTTCTTAGCAAAATAAAGAGTGAAGCAGCACAAGCTCATGCTGAGATGCTTGAGGCAAAGGGCACAATTCCTAAGAGTATGCTTTTATGTTGTTCATGTTTTATTATCCAATTTTTTCCTAAAAGTTCTTCTATCTGATTCTCATAAGTCTGAATGTTTAGGTGATTGTGCTAAGTTGAACGTTCTTTAATTGAAAAGACTATCCAAGTTGCAAAAAAATAATTTGCACAAGAAAATGAAAATGAACTACAATGTGGTTTTTTATGATTGCACCAAAATGAAAGAACTAATGTCTGCTCATATGAGAAACATCTGCTGGTGGTATATCACATACTTACTCTAATATTCTACAATAGTTTTATTTGCATTATATTATTTACTGATCATTAATGCTCTTGTTTGTACAACCTGTTTCTTTTCTTGCTTGATAGCATTCACTTACACAACATCCTGTAATATATTTTGTTCCAGTTGGTTTAAATTCATCAATTTCTTATGAGAAATGTGATTGCTGCATGAACACTTATTTTTCATAACATCCAGACTGGTACTTAGTTTGGTAACTAAATAAAATGCAGTTAATCAGGCCAAAATGGAAAATTCAAGTACATATGGTTACTTCTTGTAAGAATTTAATGTTTCTCCTATTGTAATGTTTAACTTTTTTTCTTTTAATATTGTAGGGAGGCAATGTTCTGATGCTATGAGAACTGAGCCTGAGTTTTGGGATAGCAATGGTCAGGGATTTTGGAAATTAAAATGTTATGATGATGAATCTGCTGTTCTGTTGCAAGGTAATTCTCAAAATGAATTAACTTAATTTTATGAATGATGATATCATGGCTTTAGCAAGTTTTCTAAAAGAAAGCAACATGCAGATATCAAGATAGCAGATAAAACTGGTACTGCAACTGATGAAAAATGGTTTGTTTATGGTCCTGAGGAGAAGGATGAGATTGATAAGTACATTTCCTCAAGGTGAGTTATTTTATCAAAGTTGAAGTGGATTGTTTGTGTTTTGAGATATGGTGCTTGACATTGGAGAGTTTACATTCTTTATATTTGTCAAGAAACATGATCATAAATGGTTACCAAAACTAGCTCAGTGTAGGTGTTGAATGTTGTTTAGAGAATAGTGATCACCCCGTTACAGGCCCATAGATTGTGAAATATAAAGGAACATACATTTTTTAGCTATTAATTAAGAAATACAGTGAGATATGAAAATTGATTCTAGGAAGTCATCTAAGATACTTCAAGAAATAGTAATGATAATATGTGATGTTTTCTAGATAATTTAAACAATCTTAAGATACGCAATCTAACTGCAGCCATAAACTACACAATTGCATGTGTGGCTATATCTAGGTCAAACATGATTTGTACATGAAATATTTTAAGTGGGGCCATTTACATTCAGCCATGGATATGCATGCAGTTATCTGCCCTTGTGAATGCAACATTTTTTTGGGTACATTGGAGGTGCAAGCACATGGGTAGGGAGGGGAATAATTGGCTTTGCAGAAAGCTCAAACCTCCACCATATGTGAAAACCATAGTTTTGTTAGTGTTAGTGGCATTGCAGTTATCCATCTTATTATTGCTGCTCAACAATAGCAACTAATTTAGTATATTTCTTCCTTACCTGGTTGCAGGGCTAAAAGAAATAAAAGGCGCAAGGTTTCTAACATGCTTTCAAATGAAAGCAGTGAAGCAAATGTGTAGAATGTTTATGGTTAGTATTGCTATCTTTTTGTCAGGAATTTACAATTGTGGCAACATCTATAATTCTTCAAGTGTATCTGTGTATGTCTAACTGGCAAGAAATCTAATGTGTTGTGTTCACTAATATACAATTGTAGGTAAATTGTATATGGGTCTCACCAAATAATATACAATGTTGGTCTAAGTTATTTATTCAGACTGATATAAATTTATCTAATATTAGTGTGTTAAAAGTAACGCGTGGCTAAGAATCTTTGTAACATGATATGCCTTGTTTGCTTTTAACTTGATATCACTAACATGGATTTTTGTTCTTATTTTTGTAGGTTTTGGTGGGAATCGTATTCTCAATAAATACTTACAACTAGGGAAAAATAGAAGTGCACATCTCTTGGTTGGCCGTTTTTGATTGAGAGTTGAGTGGGTTCCCTTGTTTTTTGAATGATGTGTTCTCTTTCTGAAGGGGACTTCCATAGAGGAAAATTATGAAGTTGCTAATATTGATGTTAGAGCTTAGAAACAAATACCAATTTCTTGTATCTTATTTATGTGGAATAGGGAAGCTAAGGAGATTATCATGGTTTCTTCCATCGGTAGATTGTGTTTAATGTTTAGCTTCCAAGTTTTTGATGATAGACATAAGATAGTATTTTGGTTTCTATGTAAATTACAATTTTTATATATGTATATTTTTCAATAGCTAGATGTGGATTGACACATCTCATTGGAAAGTCGTGTTTTAATATTTCTTAGTTCATTTTTATACTTAGCATTTGAAGAGAATCTCAAATCTTTGTCTGATGGAGAGTTCAAAAACTTAATTGAATTATTTGGGGAATTAATATTTCAATTTGATTAGAATATATTATTAATGTTTTTATAATGTAATCTTATTATATATTAATAAAGATTATTAATTTTATAGTGATTATTCTAAAAAATATATTTTAATTAAATAATGATGTAAAAATTTTATATTCCAAGAGACATTATAGGGTATTAAGAGATATCAAGTGGACATTGAAGTATATTGGTTGTCCACACTGTGTATATTATGAGACATTAAGTATGCGATAAAATTGAGGTATCTAATTGGGCTTTTGGCTCGATAGACTGAGTTGAATGCTTTCTGTCTTGTTTTAATTTGCTAAAATATAGGTTAATGGTGGGCTGTCTTGTTGAGCTTCTTTTTTTATTTTATTTTAAAAATTAAAAAAAATTAATTATTAATTAAATATTAATTTTTATTAATATAAAAATATTTTTTAATTGTTTTTTGTTATTTGTTTTTGTCAATCTTAGGTGGGTTGATCCATTAATCTATTGACCTATCAACTATTTTTTTATTTTTCATTTTTTGATCTTTGGTGGGTTGTCTGTTAGTTTACCTTTAAATGCGTTGAACTAAAAAAATGTAACCAAAACAGACTAGCTTGTTTTTGGCTATACTTCTGATGGATTAGAGTAAATTAGAACAAACTAGCTTGTTTTGACACCCGTATAATAGAATATTAAAATTAAAATATTAAAAATTTTATTATTATTTTTTCTTAAATAAATCATTTTTATTTGATATGAACATGTTTCTTAAATATTGATTTCTTAATTTATAATTAGATAGTAAACTTGTAATACATAGAGTGAATATTTGTAATTTTTATTATTACCAAAATTTGAAGTAAAAGTTAAAAAGCCAAATAAAAAATTTAAAATATCTTACTTTTAAAGTAATTAAAGATTATGTTATTGAAATATCATAAGATCAATTAATAAAGTTTTGAATTAATAAAGAAAAGTGTTTACTTATATTATCATAAAAAAGTTAGAAATTTTCTTAAGTGAATTTCTTGAAGTTTTAATAAAAAGTGTAGTATTATATTTAAATAATTTTTTTAAAATATTTTAATAAAATTGATATATCATATAAAAAAGTATATAATGTATAAAATTAATTTTTAAACTCGAAATAAAGTTATTTTACTAATAAATATTTGTAGTTTATGTTAAAAATAAATTTATTACACAACTCAAAATTTGAATACATGCTTTAACGGTGATAATATACATTCAAATATGTTTTTATTAAAATTAATATTAGATCTAAGTAAAACAAGGAGCTTTTATTTTATTTTTTACAAGACTTAAGAATATAAAACGAATCATAATTTTTCTTTTCAGTTTTTATATACAGTTGGTTGAATTTAAGGATGATGTCCAGAGTCTAACCGTTAACTAAATAAATATTTTGTAACTTAAAAATAGAAAAATATTTTTAATGAATTAAAATTACTGTAACTTGTTTGTTGTTGATACAATTTTATTTAATATTTATCTTATAAATTATTCAAAAATCTTAAATTAAGTTATTTTCTTCATTTTTTATATATATTATATTTTTTAATTATAAAAAAGTTTAAATAAAAAACTTAATTTAAACAATTAAGAAATTAAAAGGACTAATTTAGTCACACATGCAATGTATATATACTTTATTTTAAAATAAATATACATATATATAATAAAATTATTTTAAAAATTATTTTATAATAAATTTTTTAGATTTACCTCTATAACTATGAATATTATGTTTCAAAATAATAAATATTTAATCAAATGAAATAATTTTAAGATATAATTTATTTGAAAATAATATTTTTATCGTATTATGTTAAAAAAATTCAGTTAAAACTTTAAATTTTAAAATTAGAAAAACTAAAATAATTTTATAAATGTAAAATCATGTATTCTCAACAAAATTTAAAAGTTTATATAAAATAATAAAAAACTTTAATCTTCAAAATTTGAAATAAAGTAAAAAATTATAAATAAAAAGTAAAATTATTTTAAATGTAATTCATATTTATTCTTCGTAAATTTTAATCCTAATGTGTAACGAAATGTAAAAATAATCAACTTTACATATGCTTCATTTCCAAAATAGTAGACTATGTAATATAGAAGTTTATTAAATAAGATCAATTAAAATTTAAAAGATAAAAAATTTAGATAAGTAAAAATATAAAAAAAAAAAGTGCAACTAAACTTTTTATTATTTACTCTTTTAAAAAATTAGGATAATATTAATTATTATTTTAGTTAAATAATACATTTTTTTGTACTTCAAAATTAGATGATTAAAACATTATATTTGGATATATTATCTGAAAGACAAGGAGGACACGTGATCAAGAATTTGGCGGTTGAGGAGAAACTACCACACTTCCTCTTAGGCTCTTCCTCTGTTTCACATTCCATTGGGTCAGAAACGAAAAAACAGAGAGAAGCAAAAGGAAAAGGGATTTGCAAGCGATGCCAGGTGGAGCCATCGTCTGCTCCGGTCACCGGTTTCTCTGTCTTCTTCCTCATTCAACTCGTCCCCAACTCAGCAACCTAACTCGGTCACAACCCGTTCCGGTTCAGCTCCGATCCATATCCAGTGGCGTTGGCAATGGGAAACGCTTTAGCTCCAAATTGAGTCTTGTTCCTAAAGCCGCTGAGTCATCCACCACCACCACACCTTCACTCGTTTCCGACGATGGCTTTTCCGTTACTAAGGTTTCTTTGTTTCTTACTCCGACACGTCACCAACACCACATTTTAAATACTTTTTATGCAATTTAATAATTTTACTTTAATTTTTAAATTTTTAATACTAATAAAATTTTGCATTTTTATGTTTATAGTGACTTATACTCATTTTATAAATAATAATTCTTTTTTTATTTAAAATTTTATTCTATATTAATTTTATACATTGTATTATAGCTGTGTCATGTTCTGTAATTTTAAAAATATGTCGTATTTTTATGACTATGCTTTCTGTAAATATCATTAAATTTGGATTTATTTCTCTATATTTTTTATTAGTTTTAGTTTTTATAAATTTTAAAATTTTTAAAAATGGTTTTATTACTACTTTATAACGAAAATTTTAATATAGTAAATGACTTCAAGTTCATTAGTGGTATCAAATTATTTTCAAAAGTTTTAAAATTTATAAAGGCTAAAGCCAACAAATTTTTTATTTTAAAAACTAAAACTAAATTAAGACATATTTATATGCACTAAAGAAGAGTTTTATTAACCAATATCCCGAGAGTTGGTTAATAAATCAACAAATAATTTTTTTATCAGAAATTATGCTTGTGTATATTGAAAATCACATTTAAAGTGCATTAACACTTTTTAATAAAATTTTTATATTTTTAATTTATTAACCTATGTTTCTTATATTTGAAAACAGTAAACATGGTGATTTGTCTGTAATATTTTCATATTCATACCATTGCAAGTTCTAGTTCATATCACTCATCTCAGCTTGCTGATTCAATGCTTTATATGATTGTCCTTGCACTTGGAACATAAAATTTAATAACTAGTTGTTGTGTTATTTACTATCAGGATATTGTTTAATGGTTGCAGGTTTCATTTGGTGTGGTTGGTCTAGGTGTTGGAATTTCACTCTTGTCGTGAGTTTTGTTTTCTTTTTTTTCACCTGCTTCATTGATTTTATAAAATACATCCAATGCTTCTGTTTCTCATGTTGGTCATTTTTGTTTCAAATATACAGCTATGGTTTTGGGGCATATTTTAATGTTCTCCCAGGATCTGAATGGTCAGCTATAATGTTAACATACGGTTTCCCTCTTGCAATTATTGGCATGGCACTCAAGGTGAAAAAATATTTATTGATGTGAATAAATTTATAAGTTGGACCCTCATCATCATAAATTTATAATTCATAACGACGTTGTGCAAAAGAGTCATGTTAGGAGTTCCCCTTCCTAATGTTCAGGCTGTTGTTGCTTCATAGTTTTGCACTCTGGTGTTTTAGTGTAGTCTCTTGTGGGTCAGGCACTCTTTGTATTCATATTATGCCATTGGGCCATCTTTTTTGCAGTATGCAGAACTTAAGCCAGTCCCATGCGTCACATATTCAGATGCTCAAAGCTTGAGGGAAAAATGTGCAACTCCAATTCTTAAACAGGTAATCTCATCATAGATTCATTCTTACTGTGAAGCTTGGTGTCATGTTAAATTACGCCATGATGGTGCTTGGTGTCATTCTTATTAAAGGGTTAACCTTGGTATTGCCCGTTTAACCTATATTTGAGTAAATCAAATTCATGATGTCTAATACTTCGCTTTTAAGCCATTAATCTAAGAGCAATCAAGATTAGGTAATTGAAGGAATCATATAATGTAATGTGAAGGTTCTGGTCATTTATATCAAGGGATAAAATTGCCAATTTTGCATCTCGCTTTATTCTATTTTATAGTTGCTTAGGTAAAATCATCATTTAAATGTGAATTCTAAAAGCCTCAACAATTTGATTGGCATACATATACGAGTCAACCCATTTATACACAATTAGACAGACAAGTAAAATGTGGAATAATTTTAGGTTGCAGGATTTTAACCAGATTCAACTCATTTATTAATTGTTCCTGTTATGTTCCCCTTTTCTTTTCTGGACTCATGTTGGCAATCCAAACCTTGTGGTTCAGACTTCAGAGTCTGTTTTGAATAGCATCCATGGATCATGTCAAGAATCACCAAATGGTACTAAGTAAAATTAATTCATTCAAGGAAATAGTCATTTTTTAAGCATTCAAGATCAAATCTCACCATAATTTTCAAAATGTTTTATGTTTATTACCATTAGATTCAATCTTCCCTCTAGTCACTTGTGTCATACCTACTCTCTTATAATGTCTAATCTGGATGGTTTTGGAAATTAGATGTATTGAGTGTCCATTTTGTTCTTTCATAGGTGAAGAGTGATGTTATCAGATATCGCTATGGAGATGAGCAGCATTTGGATGAGGCATTGAAGCGGATATTCCAGTATGGCCAAGTATGTTATTTTAATTAATGAATTGTCATGTATCTACTTATTATGATATTATCATTTTGTATGCCATCTGTTCCTCCATTTTTATATTTTCAGGAATTAAATGAAACATAAAAGTAACATTTTTTTTTTCTGTTTTCTACATGTGCGTTTGAAATGAAACTCCACATGATACTTGAACCCAGGTCATGTTTTGACAATATGTTCTGTGGCTGTTAAAAATAAAACCCATTCCCAAGCCTGCACACTACAACTTAAATTTAGGATGAATTGGTTTTAAAAAGGGGCAAAAGAAATCCTTGCTTATTGTTCCTTATATCTTTGTCATGAACAACTGTCCCAAAAGCTTAAGTTGTTTGGTGAAAACACATGAATGATTTTTTCATATTGCATCTCTAACAATCTTCATCCAACATTAGCTAAATGCTGAGGTAGCCACTAAATGCCCTTGTTGCAAGTAGGATTTAATCTTACTTCTGCAGTCTGTGATATGTTCTTAAAGTTCCACGTCATTATTTATCTACTTTTTGTTTCAGGGAGGAGGAATACCAAGGAGAAGTGCACCTATTCTACAAATGATTCGTGAAGAAGTATGCTTGTCAATTTTGCATTAATTCACTGATTAGTACTATTTTAAATAAGTCTCATTTTGAACTTTTATCCATAGTCTCATTAGTTTGTGTCTCTTGTCTCATATACACACTATCCCTCTATTACAAAATCTTTTGGAAATACACCATGTTTCCCTTTTTTGCTCATTCTATTACTATTTATATAATTGAAAATTTCATTTATTTATTTATTGTCTGCTTTAGCTTCATCTGTTCTTTCTTTTGTTGGTATAGCATGGAATATTACTGCATCTTAAGCCTGTTACGGTGTTACCTCTATCCTTATCCCTACCCACCTGGTTACCTCAATAATCTGAGTACCCTTTCACAAGACTCATGAGTAAATTCAAGCACCCAGTTTGTCTTTGAGCACTGTGAGGTGCATTTAAATACCCTCTGTGTTGCTTCAGTCTTTTTGGGTTGTCTCATGGTATAAAATCTACCGGTAATTCATTGATTATTTCACTTTAAGTGCATTCAGATTGGCTTCGAAAGTCCATTTTAATCAACTTGATTCTTTTAAATTCAACACTTTTGGTACATGTGCTATCCTTTCCATTAATCATTCCATCTTTTATATAATGTATTTATTATTTTAATGTTTTGAAGAAATTTCTATGAAAGCCTTTCCGTGAATCAGTGCTGCCCATGGGCAAGCTCCAGTCTTCAGCAGCTATTCTGTCCTAAGATTGGATATCGTCAATATATATTTTTTTTCCATTGAAGTATAAGTTAGCCACCTTATCCATTTTGGTCGCTCAAGTTGATGCCATTAATACAAAAAGCCTGAGTCTAATATTCTATAAATAATAGGGATTCCATAACACTGTATGGTGGCCTGTTAATCTTCTTCATGCAACAATCTGTGTAAATCTGAGATGCTATCTACCTTTTTAATTAGAGACCCTCTTTTATTGATGAGACTGGTCATTCCGGGATTGATCCTGTCTAATGATATGCTTACATCTTTAGGTTACACAAGATCGTAAATACTGTTTGGTCTTGGTTTTCGAGGCCAAGGCTCTGCAGTTGTCTGATTTTGAACAGAGACAGGTATTCAATTTTCTCTTTTGGAGCATATATTTTAATTACTTAAATTTTGTATTCACTTTTTTTGTAGTGGTCTCAAAGGTGGGGGGGGGGGGGGGGGGGTCTTTGGATCTTGGAGAGAACAAAAGTGCTACAAACTAGATAACTCTTGCTATCTTTTACTTGAAAATTTTCTTTTTATCTTTTTTTTAGGGGGTGGGGGGTTGGAGTTTAGAAAGAATTCTAAGATAAAATCAGAGTAGAAGAATAAAAAAGACAGAAATGCCAAAGCCTATGTAGGTTCACCTTGTATTTTAAACAAACAAACAAAAAATCTAATTAACAATCCTTATCCAAAATATGTTGCAAGGTACGAATTGTCAATTGGAAGCTCTAGCATTCCCCTCTAACTAAAGCACCAAATGCCTGCAAACATCAAATTTCTTCGAAGGCCTACCCCAATATTTTTATGCTAAAAATGATTCACAGAATTTGAGCGGATCTGTAAAACTAGTTCATACTGCAAAATAATATTACCATGATCTATGAAGTCCAAAATTGAATAAACCAATTCTTCTCAATAGACAAAATGTTCACTTCCTAACAGATTAATGGTGTTATTGTTAATCCTATTCATAACTGCCTTATAGACATAAAGAAAGGTTTAACCTTAGAAGGCTGCTTTTGGAATTTAATTAATCTGATTCCTGTTTCATGCAATTCTAAGATCCTCTAAAGTTTTATATCAAAGATATAGTTGCTAACAATTTCTCATTCTTTAATTGTATTTAGGCTAAATTTGCTTCATTCTTTGGGCCAGGAATTACTGCAGAAGTTGGTGAGTCTGAAAATTCAAACAACACTGCTTATATGCTAAACTGCTAATATTTAATAATTAAAAGGCACAGAATGTGTATGAAATGAATGATGCGTTCTGACATAATATTTGGATGCAGGTAAGGGAGAAAAAGATTTATATGAGGTCCGACTTATCTCCAATACAGATCCCAATGCATCAAGTTCTTGACCATTTTATCCTCCTTTTCCATGTTACTTGATTTAGTCAATTACAGATCTTAGATCCTTTGAAATTTGTAAAAATATTATATTCAAAAGCATTGAGTTGTTGTATCAGGTGTAAATTTTGACATAGATTAAAAGAAGAAGAATAGCAATTGGAAAGGATGAGCCTACCCAATAAGGATCATACTATTTACACTGTTTTACCTTTCATATACAGGAACTTCTAGAATTTGGTTGCAACTCGTCTGAAACATGGGGATTGCTCAAGCTTCTAGCAAGACAATCTTGGCATGTCCTAGGTTATAAAAAAAATGTCATTACATGTACAGTTTACTAGGGAATAGTTCCATATGTTGGTCATCCTTTGGTTTTGGCAATTTGGTAAACAAGGATACCCACTTCGCTATGTTTGGTTTTGGAAATTTGGTATGCAAGTATCCTATCTAAATTACTTTTATCATATGGCTCAACCCATTTGACTTGAAAAACAGAAAAAAAAATGTGAATTCAATTGTTTGAAATTTATTTTTAAAATTCACTTTGCAAACATTTAAACATGAAAATTTTGAATTTATGATTAGAAAAATTAAAAGGGAAAAAAATCAAAACAAGGTCAAGGAAAATAGAGTTCAAGGGTTTGTTATTAAAGAAGAACGATTCAAAGATTGTTGCATGAAGAAGATTAACAGGCCACCATTTTAATCAGTGTTATGGAATCCCTATTATTTATAGAATACATGGCAAGGTCAAATCAATAGTTCATTTTTCCATGAATGACTTGCTAGGTTGCACTACAAAAACCAACGATCTGCAAGTTCAAATAAAAAGAATGGACAAAAAGTCAACCTATATAATTTTTAGATTTTTGATAAATAATGCCTAAAATTTTAATATTCTTTGAACTGATCTTTAAATGTTACATGTTTGGTAATTAACTCTCCGTTATTAGCCAAGATAGAAATTCCAAGAACCTTTGATATTTGGCTTTGATCTTGAACTTAAATATATCCCATGAATGTAGAAGAGTGCCTATGGTAGGTATTGGTGTTGCCTGTTGCTAAGTATGTTTTTCTTTAGGTTTTTGTAAACTTTGTCCCTATTCAAGTCTTTGCCTTTTTCTTTAAGGGATCAATTTCTTAAGAGTCATTCATGTAACAAGCAAGACAAAGGAAATAGCATAATTAACAAGGAACATCACCATTGAATACATAAATAATTAGTTAGGAAATAATGCATAAAAAATTCTCAATAAATAACATTTTAATTGATTCGCTAAAAAAAAGCACTTAAGGAAAAATTCACTTAAGCGATTAAATATTCTCCTAGGTGAATTGAAGGCATAAATCAAAGGTTTGTTAGGGATATCAAATTTGCTTGAGCAAATGAAATTTGACAAATCTCCTGAATCGTATTAATCAGTGTTGTTAAAATTCCAGTATGATGGCATCATGGCAGAATGGCATGGCAATTTGGACAGAACCCGTTACAGCTATGGCGTGATGTGGCAGAATTGCATGAAGGTGCCATGGTGGCCATTACGCGCATGACGGTAATGGCAGCCACGGCGAAAACGATGGAATATGGCGGTTTTTTGTTGAAAAATGAGTTTTTTTTGCAATTTTGGGCCAGCGACCCAACCCGGTCCAAATAACCCAACCCTAAAGTCCAGGTTTTTCCCTCTTTTCTCCCTGTGATCTCACTTTCTCTCTCTAATCTCTTTCTACTCTCTGCTCATCTCTTTCTCTCTACTCTCTGTCAATATCTCACTTTCTCTCTCTGCTCTCTGGTGAGATCTCTCTCTACTAAGATCTCTTTGTCTTGGGCTCCTTTGGTTTTTGTTTTGGTGTAGTTTTATCTCCATCTCTAGCGACTGCACTTCCATCTCCGACGACTCTATTTTTTTTATAGCTATTTTTTTCATTTTTCTTCTTAGTTTTTTCTTTATTTCTCACATTTAAGTTTTACCCTTTCCATCTTTCAATTTCTACCTCTCCCACATCTCTATTTTTTCTCAAAAAAATTCTATTATTTCAACTACCTTTAACATGGCTCAACATGAATCTTCATCAAATTGTTCAAGAGCTTCTAATCGTTCTGACTTGGAATAGAAATATGCTCATTCGGTGAAAGATGGAGATATAAACAATATTGTATATAATTTTTGTGAAAAAGTTATGAGTGTTGGATGTAACACATTAATTTAATTTTTTAAATAAATAAATTTCGCAATAAATAGGAATACTAATAATTTCATTTCAATTGTTCCCAATACATAGTTTCAATAAAGTATTTCAAAATAAAGATGAATTACAAATTTTGAATCAATCATTGCTACAGGACCTGTCAATACATCATAGTTTTCAAAATAAATTTTCTAAGTCCTATAGCAGTTCTATCCATTCCTTTCACTAAGCCTAGTGTTAATCATTTTGGTCACCTGAAAAATAAATGTAAAAGTGAGTACTCTACACTATCACACACAAGCACAGAGACTTATCTCGCACATTTCATACATTTACTAACATAATTCAACTCAAACATCAAACATGCATAAAATAATACATTTCAACATTCTATTCCAATTCACATACAGGTGCGCACCATCAAACAATCTACATACAACACCCACGTGTACTCACTGCACTTTAGCCACGCTCATTGTGACATTGTAATCACAGTTTTCTGACGCTCTCAACCTTAGTTTTATACCATGGATGGTTGCCGTTTAGCTCTCTGCCTCATAGATACAACGTGTGCGATCATGGGCTCAGCAAAAGTGTTAGTCAGAGGCCGAGTCAGGAGAAGAGTGTGTGACCTGTGCTGCACTCATGCTCACTGTTGTTATCACCACAACCCTCTCTTCCTCAAGGTATTTCTATCGCTCTCATCTTCCACACCCCCAGTGTATCGCTGTAACCATTCAGAGTTTCCAACCATTTCAAATACAATCACAATCACAATCAACATGCCATTTTCCACACATGACACATCTACACATTCAACCACACTAAGCTCAAACACACAATTTCCATCACAACCTTATTGCAAATAAAGTCATTTCATTGCACACAACATCCACTATACATCACACACATTCCTCAATATCAATCACACTAAGTTCCACATAAAATTTCCATCACACCCTATTAAAATCAAGTCATTTTCATCTAAATACACATCCTTCTATATTCTATCTCAATCATATTTCAATCCATGCTAATATGCATGAATTTAACATCAAAGGATAGGGTAGAGTCCTCCCTTACCTCAAAATAAAAACCCAACACAAAATAAATAATGAAAATGCTCTCCACACAAATTTTCGTCCTAAACACATGAAAAACTCCACGAGAAACCAAGAAAATGAAAGAAAAGGATGAAAATCGAAACTATAACCTATAAAACTTACCTCCAAGCGTTTCAAACACGATCTCAACCTTCAATCTTGCACCCAAACGGCCTTAAAGGCAATTGAATTGATGAAATAAGATGAAAAATTGAGAGAATCAAAGAGATGAGAGGGAAGGTGAGAAATGAATTTCTCAAACCCTAAACCTCTCAAATACCCTAAGATTCACGATACTCTCGCTACAACGAGACATTTCTCGCTACAACAAGGCACCTTTCCCTACAACGAGACCCCTTCTCATTGCAGCAAAAATCAAACGAATCTACACTCTAATTTTTGCAAAATCTCGCTACAACGAGATTACACCAAAAAATGCACCCCTTTGTTGCCCTCTCACTGCAGCAAAAAGTCTCTCACTACAGCGAGAACACAGCAAAATCATGTCATTCACCCAAGACTTTCTCGTTACAGCGAGAATGTCCCTGCAGCAGCACCCACTTTCCTATATCTCAATCAATTCCAAACACACCCAGTTATCAATCCACAATCATCAATCACGTCATTACACATATATTCACACCATTATATATATATATCAATTGCACATTCAATTAGTAATCCACATACTCACATCACCATACAAATCAAATGCACATTCAATAGTAATTCATATATTTATATTAATAATCAAATAGTTTACAAAACTCGGGGCGTTACACTGGAATCACTAAAGTGAAACAACATTTAATTGAAAAAAAGGGTAATGTGAAAGCTTATCCCAAGTGTCTAAAAGAAGTTAAAAAAGAGATTGAGACATATCAAAAGGAAAAAAAGAGTCAAAATAATTTTGAGATGTCAAATGTGAGAAACTTTGAAGGTATAAGCTATAATGAAAGTGAGGATGAAGAGGATACCCAAAACCATAGCGTTGCCATTGAAAATCAGAAAGGGTCGATGGACTTGTTTTGTAGAAAGCCAGGCCATTGAGAAAAGAAAAAAGGAAAAATTGAGACAAACAAGTATAAGTGAGCGATATGACAAAGAAGCCAAGGCAAGGGTCCATCAATACATAGCTCGATTTTGGTATCAAACTAGCCTTTTCTTTAACCTTGTTAAACTAAAGAGCTTTCAAGAAATGTTTACAACTGTTGGTGCCTTTGGTCCAAATTTACCAGCTCCAAGTTATAATGATATTCGAGTTCCACTTCTTAAGAAAAAGAGAGAATATATTGATTCTCTGATAAAAGATCATAAGGAGCAATAGAGCAAACATAGTTGTTCTATCATGTCAGATGGATGGACAGAAACAAAAAAAAAACAAAGATGTTTTTGATTAATTTCTTGATCAACTCTCTTACTGAGACTATGTTTATGAGGTCTATTGATAGATCTAATTTTATGAAGAACGGTGAAAAATGATTTGATATGCTTGATGCTCTTGTGGAGGAGATTGAAGAAGACCAAGTTGAGCAAGTGATAAGGGATAATGGGAGCAATTATGTCTTCGCTAGTAAGATGTTAGAAGCAACAAAACATCTTTATTGGACTCCTTGCGCAGCTCATTGCATAGATTTTATGCTTGAATATATTGGAAATCTTCCCTTGATAAAAAAAAAAAAGAAGAAATTCAAAGGGGAATATCTGTTGTTGGCTTTATCTATAGTCATTCAAGTACTTTGAGTTTGTTGAGAAATTTTACAAATAAAAGGGAATTTGTGAGGCATGCAATTACTATATTTGCAACTTCTTTTCTATCATTAGAAAGACTTCATTAAAAAAAAAAAACAAATCTTAGAAAGATGTTTACTTATGAGGAGTGGTGTAAAAACAAGTTGTAAAAAAAAGTTAAAAAAAGCAACAAAAATTCTATTAAATCCTATATTTTAGAATAATGTGGTATATACTTTGAAAATTATGACTTTTCTTGTTTGGGTGTTACGTTTGGTTGATAGGGAAAGAAGACCAGCCATGGGATATATTTATGAAATAATGGAAAAAGGTAAAAAAGCTATTATGAAGTCATTCAAAAATAATGAAAGCAAATACAAAGATGTGTTTGCAATCATTGATAATAGATGGACTTGTCAGCTTCATCGTCCATTACATGTAACTGGTCACATTTTAAACTC